CTTTTCTTCTCTGTCTCATATAGCAGTTTCCATCTTTTTCTGTGTGGCAGCTTCTTAGTCGGCTTTCTGTAGGTTTTTAGCAACAGCAGATGTGAAAAGGTGATATAATCGAACATAAATTAATGAAATGTGACCTTTGTGTTTTTGCAGGAGGTCATATTAATCCAGCTGTATCGTTGATGTTTCTGCTTTTTCGACAGTTGAGTGGCACTCGTTTCTTGCTGTACTGCCTCGTTCAAACTGCCGGAGCATTCTTCGGCGCTGCTTTAGCATCTTTTCTTTACATAGGTTTGACAAAATCGTACTATCATCAGAAATAAGTAGAAATCAACGAATTTTCGCCGTTAATCATACTTATCAAATCGTCGAGCACAGACAGTGTTATGCTTAATTCCAAACTTGAATGCGAGCGGAAGTATGGAGAGACGCTGAACAGACGACTGGTAGTAATAGGAGGTGCATAAAGTTGGCCCGAATGATTTGGTACGGATTTGCGGTATGCTGAGGCATCCCAGTACCATCACTAGTAGCGGGTCCCTATATCGACTATTGGGGTAGTTTTAGTACTTAGTTCATAGCAACCAGCTCAGGCTTGGTTGCTTTAAGAGATAAAGACTAGATGGAGAAGAAGAGAAATTAAAGGAGAGCAGAAGAGAGGAGTGGGGTAAAACGTTCCGGTCCTTTCAGTAACATACGTCTTAACTCAACACTACAACTGAACCTCGTCAGTATGGCGATTGCAGTGCTTTCTAGGAGAGAAGAAAAATTAGAGAAAGAAGCAGATGATGAAATGGAAGGGAAAAAGGAAAGGGAAAAAAGAGAAGGCAGGACGAAAGAAAAGCGAGAAGATGATAAAATTGTTAATCGTAATATTGCTAATCGATTTCACTACATCACATTCTGAGCACTACAAGTTTAGGTCGAATGAATTTATTGTACAAAAGTATCAACTGTAATACTTCTGCAGTGCCATATCCTAATTCGCATTCTTGTTTTAGGCAGCAGAACGCCGTCTTAGTGCAGATTTAGTGAATTTTTCTTTGGGGCTCTAAACATTTCGTGGAAGTATTTCAGATGCGCTCAACGAATTTGATGGTGGAATTCGGCAAGTATATGGGCCGAAAGCTACCGCTGCAATATTTGCTTCCTACCCGTCGACTCATCTCAGCGCATTTGGAGGACTTGTTGATCAGGTTTGTGGTTTATGACTAAATTAACGTATAAAACTTGCTGAATATGCTTATGAGTCTTAAAAAGCCACTAATTTAACTGCATCAAAACAAGATCAAGTTAAAAGTTAAAATCCAAGGTCAACCCGGACGCTACAATCGGCTTAAAATCACATCTGCATTCACTTTTTTTGAAAAGCAAGCATATTTGGAAAATAAACCAAACGATAGCAAATGCTAACAGCAATCAAGCTCTGAACAAAGCTTTGTCGCCGACTCGTTCTTTCAAGAATTGCTTACAAGCAAGTAATGAGAGTTTTGACTCTTTATAACGCACCAATACGAATTCACCATAAAAACAAAATAATGAATGATTCTTAGTGGGGTTTTTTTTGCCCAAAAACAAATAAAAACAAATTATGCATTAAAAGAGTAATATTTTTAATAGCATCGCAACACTATTAATCTGCAATGTCTGATTTTGTGTTTGCTTCAGCAATGCCTGATTTTTCTGCCACAATTCGATCTCCGAACATAAAAGCTAAAACAGTGGTTAACACCCCCTTCTTGTAATTTTGAGAATTGGAGAAAATTGTTTTCAAAAAAAAAATTGCATTTTGGCTCGGTCTCTGCTTACGCATAAGCACTACAAAACTCATATCGCCTGAACTTAAGACAAGAAGGAAGCGCTTAAAACTGCAGCTAAGACTGCGGATATTAAAGAATTCAGTTTTCTTTGGAAAAAAATAAAGAA